AACCCCATACACATTAGCAGTCACTCCCCATTTCTCCCCAACCCCAGGCAACCACTGCCTACTCTGAGCATTTCATATAAATGGAATCATACAATATGTGGTCTTTTGGGACTACTTTTGAAACAGAGCAGGAGCCTATGGTCCTTGTCCCCCGACCATGTCCTCAGCCTGCCTTTTGTCTGTGGAAAAACTTTAGCCAAAGAATAAGTTTAATCAGAGAAGTGAGAAAATGCAGAAACAAAGGAAAACAGTTAAAGGAGACCAGACAATAATAGTCTAAACATTAAGCACAGTCAAGGACCTTTAGTTCCTCCTTAAAGGCTGAGGATGATATTCTGAGCCATCTCTTGTGAGCTGTTTTGCAGATATTGAAGCCCCCACCAGGGGGAGGATGACTACATGATGACCAAACTGAATCCATGACATAAGCTGCCACAATCACGAGAACTGGCCTCAAAGAAATAGGAACAAACCCTGGAACTAAAGATTAACTGTACTTAAAACAACCAAGGTGACGCTGATCAGACCACCACATTACTGGTTTCAAGATGACTGTCGGAACAGACTGTGCTGTTCCGCTCCCTACCTCCCCCTGAAACTCCCCTTTAAAAGCCCCTGTCCCCTGAGCAGCCATCCGGAGTTGGTTCTCCGACAGGAGTCCACCCTCTCCCCGGGCTGCCGGCCTCCGAAATAAAGCAACCTTTCCTTTCCTACCAACACTTGTCTCTCAAGAATTGGCTTCCGAGCCTTGAGCAACTGGACCTGGGTTCGGTAACACTTTCACTTTGCATACGTTTCCAAGGTTCATCCATGTTGTATCACGCATAGTACTTTTTGTTCTCAAATAATTCAACACTGCATGAATATAACACATCTTTTATCCATTCATCTGTTGATGAACAAATACTTGGGTTGTTTCCACTTTCTGGCTATTATGAATGCTGCTGCGGTGAACATTCATACACAGGTTTTTGTATCAGTACCTGTTTTCAATTTTCTTGAGCATATCGAATATTGGGGTCATAGGTAACTCTGTTTAACTTTTTTTTCATTGGAGTTGATTAACAATGGTATGTTAGTTTCTGCTGTACAGCAAAGTGATTCAGTTATACACATACATGTAAAAAATACTCTTTTCCATTATGGTTTATCATAGGAATGTTTTTTTAAGGAACTGCCATGATGTTTTCCACAGTGGCTGTACCATTTTACATTCCCACCAGCAATGCACAAGGGTTCCAATCTCTCCACATCTTTGTCAACGCGTGCTATCACCAGATTTCTGTATTATGGCCTTCTTAGTGGGTGTGAAGTGCTATCTCATTGTGGTTTTGACTTTCATTTCCTAATGACTCATGCTGTTGGACATCAATTCATTTATGTGCTCATTGGCTTTGAATATCTTCTTTGGAGAAGTGTACAATCAGATCTTTTGCCAATTTTTCAAATGGGTTATTATTTTTTATTGAGTTGTAAGAGCTCTTTAAAAGTTCCTCATTAAATATGATACGTAAATATTTTCTCCCATTCTGTGTGTTGTCTTTTCACTTGCTTGATGGGGTCCATTTCTTCTTTTGCAGTTCGTGCTTCTGGTATCATTATCAAGAAAACATTGCCTACTCCAAAATCGTAAAGAACTATGCCTATGTTTTCTTCCAAGACAATTATGAATCTTTTGTTGTTCTTGAACTGGTTAACTGAGAAAACGAATGTGAAAGTAATGCAATTACTTATGTATTAAGTATTTCCATCTGACAATTCTCAAATGACTTCTTCCTGAAGAGCTATTGACATGACAAGCATAATCATAAAGGTGAAATAAATTCAGTTTATCAATAAAATATTAGGACAATGAAACAAGAGTTTTAAAAGTTGTTGAATGCTCACCACAAGATAAATGTTACTTAAAAGTATCGGGTAAATTCTTTCTACCAGAACTTCTAATTGTTCAGTTATTTCTAGAATTCCCCCATGGCTCCAAGAATGTTAAAACAAACAGAATTTTCTTATCTAAAAATGACATGTCACTTTAATGGTTTCTTAAATTAATTTGGATGGAAGGTAAAATTTTTGCAATTGCACCTTTTGCATCGTTTTTCTGGAGGACCTACGCTGCAGACACAAGCAAATTTGTTTCACTTGCTTCTTTCTTCTTTAAAGGGAATGATGAAGGTGGAGTCAACCCACAGCCGCACCCCTGGAAGTATAACTGTTTCAAGGCCAACCTGAAACCTTGAGTCAACTTCAGCTTGGTCCTCGAGATGCCAAATACCACCAGATGTGGAGAGACCACCCGTGAGATCAGAAAGACCCGCTGCCCACCCACCCTCCTTAAAACAACTAGCCTTTATTTAAGAAATCCTACTTCCAAACTTCACAAGGGCTTTGTTTGGTTCATAGTGAATTTCATGACTTATGGGATTCTTTGCGTCATGTGCCTTAGTAGGAAAAAGGAGTGACTAGGTAGAGTTAACCGGGCATGAGGCAACAGTAGAGAGAAGCAGGAATACAAGGGTTACCTATTTCTCCATTTTTTAGGACTTTCCCTGTAGGTTTCCACCTACAACTTGGGCTTCATTTTCTATCTTGATGGAAATGTTCACATCTGACAGTCAAAAAACATGTAAGACTGTGATTTAGTTTTAGAACTTACATAATGATTTCGTGATCAATGAAATTCTCAAACATCTGTTGATCTTTTACAAAATGTGCCTCCAGATGAACCCTCTGCCCCTCCCCGACTCACTACGGGAATCCCTTGTTATCTTTTTCTACTGTTTCTGAGGCTGATGCCAAGCTTCCTGCATAAACATCTTCCTCTCCTGTTGCCCCTCCCCCAGCCTGCCCAGCCTTTGAGCAGCTGGACACAGCAGACATAGAAGTCCAGCACGATCCCCACCATTACGTCTTCTCTTCCATGCCTGCTCCTCCCAGGAGCTTGGTAAGGCCCACTGAGAGCAGGGACAATGTGAAAGCTTGTCTTTGCTGATGCCGATGGCATAGGAGTGGACCCTGGTCCCTAAGAGCAATGCTGGACTATCCCAAGTACCAGAGCTCCCCACCCTGATATGGAGCCAAACCAAACTGGGCCTCCAGATAAGGTGACAGTGAACACACATGAAGCCAGAGAAGAGCAGAAAGGAGTCTGGAGGCAGGGTCGACCCAGACTCACAGAGATTTCTGCACACAGACAGGACATGGCTTTTAACTGTAAATATCGCAATTATTGTACGATTTGCTTTGTTCAAATTTCACACACCAAGTATCTCATCCAAATTTAAAGCAAGCTCTTCTGTAAGAGATCCAGATGGGGGACATGCAAACATTCACTGCACGTGTGGGCCAGGCAGAGGAGTGCAAGCTTGGTGGTCATTTCATTCCAAGCTTCACAGGAACCAGCCCCTATCTATGGCACAGTGGGGTGGGGGAGTGGGAGAGGGCAGATGCAGAAACCTCATCAGGGCACTAATTTCTTGTCTTAATCCCTTTGGTTATACTGTTTATTTCCAGACACACCCTTCATAATGATGCTGAAAACCACGCCCGGAGCAGTGAACCGACTGCTCTCCTATCTTAGAGGAAGAACTGTGGAACTCATCAAAAAGCAGAGTGAAGGTCCAACAGTCATTTTTTTTTTTTTTTTTTTTGTGGTATGCGGGCCTCTCACCATTGTGGCCTCTCCCGTTGCGGAGCACAGGCTCCAGACACACAGGCCCAGTGGCCATGCCTCACGGGCCCAGGTGCTCCGCGGCATGTGGGATCTTCCCAGACCGGGGCACGAACCCGTGTCCCCTGCATCGGCAGGCGGACTCTCAACCGCTGCGCCACCAGGGAAGCCCATCCAACAGTCATTTTTATTTAGCTACTGACCTATCCATGATTACACAGTCACGACAGCACGTTACAGCAGAGCCTGCTGACTCGTCTGTCGATGTATCAAAACGCAGAGGGATGTGTTGGGCACTTCAAGTTCATTACAAGAGGCATGATTTTGTTCCAGGCTTGTGTTTATTAAAATCTAAACAAAGGATTCCTCTGCAAGGCATTTTCCCATGTGATAGAGACAGCTGCCCCACTGCCCTCCTACATTCGCTCTAACTTCCAGTGACAAAAAAGGCAGAGGGTAATACATGTCATTGATTATAAAAATCTATGCTCTGTAATTTAAACAAATTCCTTTCCAATGTGTTTAGTTATTTCTGAAGAACTCCATGGCTCGTCAGTCGGCGAGCAGGCCAATGAACAATCATTGCTAACTACAAAGTACTTCGAGTCTATAAATTCAACTCTCAAGTTTCGACATTTAAAGAAAAAAGCACTGGGCAGAGCAAAATAAACAAAGATGGGATGACTGAATCAGTCCACTCCATCAGTCCACACCAGAGTTCTTCATGGCCCATCACCAGAGCTAAATTTCTTCAAAAATCAGATTCCAAATATCCCACAATCTCTTTCAAATGTGTGTTTTTACAAATTAGGGAATCAACATTTCTTTACAGGAGCATGTAAACAGTTTTCACCTTTGCAGAAGGAGTCTGTAAAACCTGAGAACCTGTATAACTGAGAATCTCTTCGAAACGACATTTTTAAGCTGAGAGAATGGACAGTGGTAATGTTCTCTCATGGTTCACAGTCTTTTGTTGATGTTGCTGGTGTTTTTAATCAAAGAAAAGACGGAGTATCTTTTCTAGGTCTTGCAGGCCACTTTCTCTTTTTATCATCTATATGATTGTTCAAGTAGAACAATTATTAGAAATCTTTAAGCTATTATTTCTGGGCCTTCCTTAATTTCTTTTAAAAAAAAACTACACTGGAAACATTCAATACCTGATTATTCAATTAGATGAAGCAGCACAAGAAGAGATCCAAGGACACCCCTGCTCACATCAGACAGACAACTTGGATCTGAAAGATGAGCAAATTAAATGACCGCCAAATAATCAGATTCCAAACATTAAAGACAATTACATATCAGACAGACAGCCAAACATGGTGGTATGTTTTAAAAGATTGTGCCCACAATAAGCAAATGACATAGTGATGGAACATCAAAACAAAGCTGATGAATAAAAAGGCACACTCTAAAAGTTCAGGAGTAGAAAGAACAATTGTTTTCGTTTGTTTTGTGTCTAACGTAGGAGGAAAGGCAAACAGGTGTATTCAAATCATGTTCAGGTGCGGGGTTCTGTCAGCTGATGAAGTTAACGGTGGCTTCTTTCTCCCCAGACCTAAGCAGTCTTTCCTTCCATTGGCTTCTGATAACGTGTTTAGTGTTCCGACGTGTAGAAGTGATACATCAGGGCTACAACCAGTGCTGAGATGGCTGGGATCACCCAATTGGTCCACCAGCTGGAAAGAAACAGCAGTGACGCTTGCATGGTGTTCGAAGGAGGGCACTCAAAACTGTGCTCCTTCTCTGTACCATGAAAGTCACCATGGCATGTTTTTATTACCTCTCTTTTTTGGATGAAAAGGTAACTGAATTGCTGAAAGTGCAGTGAGTACAACACATGTCCTGGTATACTGGCAACTGGTCTGTCCTTCCAGTCTTATAAGAAAACTAATGTCCTCCCAGTTCCATTTAGATCTGTTTCTATGTACTTATACAAAGAGCTATGAATCACTCCCCCAACAGATGCCACCTAGAACTAGTGACTTATCGAAAAGACATCAACTCTGGGTTACATATCACACGAAAGTGAATATTCCTAGCAGGTTTTATTCTAGTTACATCTGTAAGTGAAGAACTGAAAATGGCACTGAACTGAGAACCAGAAGACCAAGGTTCTCATTTCAAGAGAGCCATCAGCAAGCTCTATAGCCAAGAGCAAATCACGTCCCCTGAGCATAAAGTTAAGGAGTTTGAAGCATGGGATACTACGGTTGCTACTAGCACCACAGCTCAACATTCTGTGATTTTGTTTTAAAAATCTACTCTTTACATGTGTGTAGTAGGTTTAACATGTTAATAAACAACATGCCCAAATTACTTAATCTGTGGTCCATAGGTGTCAATTCACAAAAATCCCTAATTTACACATTGTTCAGTCCTGATGCATAGAATTTTTGATCTACTATAAATGACAGATGATATCAGGGGCAGAGTCAGGAAGATCTTCAATACAGATTTGAACCTATAATTTCTTAGAAAACAGAAATTAATGTATAGGTTTTAGAATCTGAATAAAGAGCCGGTAACAGCTACGTATACATATATTTTCTGTCATAAACTTTCTACCCTTTAATATTCTTCACATATCAACCCATTCAAAGATCAAGTTCAAAATAAAGATTTAAATTGCAAAAGGATTATAAGTGTAATTTCGTAGGTTTTCAGTTTCCATTTAGGAGACTGACATTTCAGGGGAAAGCAAGAGGAAATAAGGAAATACTGCAGGGAATGTACCAGAACACTGACAGCCTGGAGGCAGCAAAATTTGACAGGGCGAAACTAATAAGCAGGACTGTGTAGCTTTGAGCTTGAGTCCCCCAAAAATGTATATAATGGCAATTAAACAAGTCAGGATAGTAGAGCTGCCAAAAATGTCATTATGATCTTAAACTATAATAAAACAGTCTAGTCCCTAGAACAAGTGATTCATGCTACACTGGATTACTGCGTTCGATTTTAAGACCAACCTAAAAAAGGGACAAGGGAAAACTGAGCCATGCTTAGGGAGGTATAATCATGACAACTTAAGAAACTGACCACATGTCAAATGAGGAAGGAAATGAGGAATGTCCGCCTGGAGATTAAAAGATTGCCCAGGTCACAGGACTGCCATGGGGGAACAGGAGACTACATTTGTTCTGTTCCTTAAAGTAGATGCAGCTGGAGGGTGAGATCTGGGGTCGCTCTAAAGTGTCCACGGTCGGAGCTGTCAGACAGTTGAGGAGGGAAGGGCCTGGGTAGTCCGGGTGCTAAGTGGAGATGGCCCCTGGCCTGTCCACTGAGAGGCACATGGCAGGAGCCAGAGCAACAGAGGAGTCTCGGATGAGGGGAGAGGCCCCCAGTCCAACTCTGATTTTAGGAGCCTTCTGATCACAATAATGCTTTTAAAGAAAACTACCACATACCTGGAATTAGAATCAATAGTAGTAATAAGAGTTTCCTGAAACACAAGAGAAAAAAGTAAAGTAAGTTAAGGGGAACATCTAAACATTTATTGAATTGACTAAAACCTGTTTTAAAACAAGATCACAGGGCTTCCCTGGCGGCGCAGTGGTTGAGAGTCTGCCTGCCGATGCAGGGGACGCAGGTTCGTGCCCCGGTCCGGGAAGACGCCACGTGCCGCGGAGAGGCTGGGCCCGTGAGCCATGGCCGCTGAGCCTGCGCGTCCGGAGCCTGTGCTCCGCAGCGGGAGAGGCCACGACAGTGAGAGGCCCACATACCACAAAAAAAAAAAAAAAACAAAAAAACAAGATCACAATAGTTTATTCAATTCATTCTTCTTATTCAGTGCATTCTTCAAAAAAAGTTGAAAGGGAAAATTATATCATAAACTTCTCACCTGAATACCTAATTTCACCATTTTTTCAGAAGAAGAAAAATTAGATAATTTGAAAGAAAATGTTAAAAATTAATAGGCTACCTAAAATATTCTGCACATCTAAATACTTTAACATAGAAACCGAACACAGGTATCATTTATACATATACAGAACCTATCATTATCTTTAAAGTTTCATTATCTTTAAGTTTCATTCTTCAAAAGCATGAATAATGATGTTCAATAAAAACATCAGTTATTTCATCAAATCTCATATGAAGTAAAAGTGTACGCAGATTATATAAGAAGACGTGTCAACCAAAAAGAAAAAATGAGAAGTATCACTTAAATTACAACAGTCTGGGCCACCTTTCCTGGCCTTCTTTAACTCTGTCAAGAAGGCTCTAAAAAGGCACTGGAGGCATCACAGGCTGACTTCACACTGTCACCCACCAAGAAACCTTCAAATGCCGCGTTCTTTCAGTTGCAGCCTGTATTACTTTCCAGCACTTTCTGAGAGGGGTCCTTCCTGTCAGTACCATGAAAATGAACTATGGATGGCTCTAGGAAGGTGCATACTTCCCCAAACAGTGGGGTAACTAAGGCCTAGTGAAATGTAAGCTTTTTCGGTCTTAAAAACTTGTTAAGAAGCATTCTTTTGAAGCGCCACACCAGCAAAAGCATTAGTGCCTCAAAGAAAGGTTGCCAGAAATAAGGCAGCTTCACAGAGAGTTCTATCTCTGTAGTTTCCCAAAACACAAGATAAAAAACCATTAGCAAAACAATCAGTGATTAGCAGTGAGGCAAAGCTACACACAGCAAGGCGAGTTAAAAGACATTCCCGTGGAAAAGCAGAAACCTTCCAGGAAGAGCAAGCAAAGCAGTTATGAGACCCACCAACCTGGTAACATGGCCTTTAAGATTCCTGACACAGGAGGAGGGAAAAAAATAGTCATTTAAAAGAAAACTTCACAGTTATTATCTTTTTAAGCAATATTAAATCTTAGAGACTACAAAATGTATTCATAACTACTGCAAGATTAGGTTTCAAATTTTGCATAGATGAATAAAATTAATAAGGATTACTAGAAGTAACTGGACAATGAGAAAATATTATTTAGCTATTAGAGACATATAAAGAAAGACATAATCAGTTCTGAAACAAATGCAACAGTTCATTTAAGGTAAAATGTTATTGTCACACTAGAAAGCTAAGCCTGAAATAGTAAACAGAAGGCAAACACGGATCTGTTATTTTGTTATACTGAGCACATGCATTTCACCAAACACGCTGACAACTCGGCATGGAAACTTGGCTGGCTTGCCTTCCACTACTAGTGCATCGTCTCCACCAGCAACAACAATGATCCTCTAAAGAGCTGAACTGTAAAAGATAATACGCATTTTTGATTGCTTATTATCTGTTAGGCTCTTAACCCAGGGATGCTTAAGAGTTAAGGCAAGTTTGAATTACCACTTAGCACTTGGGCCACAGTTGGGTTTTGGTATGTAACTAACAAATTTGTCAGAACAGGGAAAAGAGACTCTGGTCTTTATTACAGGCTGTGCCTCCTGTTCACTCCGTGACCCTGAGGGGTTCAATTTCAAACAGGAAAAGGTTAACAATGAAATCAGTACATGATAAGCTCTCAATAAAAGCATGCAAAGCCCATCGAGCTTTTGTAAATCAAAGTCACCTCATTTATAACTTCATCTCACTTAGCCTATTTCTTCACTGGAAGGCTTTCCTAAAAATACTGCTGATGGAGTGATGCCTTTTATGCAAAGGCTAGAGCCTACGGGGGCATGAGAGACTTGCAACTGCCAAGCCTTAAATGGGTGCTAGCAGTGGTTCTGCAATGTGTGACCTTGAACAAGGTCAAAGCTTGGAACAAGGTTGAGTTTCATCGCCTTCACCTTCCCTAGAAGGTCCAGGGATTCCCCCATGATATCATGAGAACCAAATCAATTCACTAACATAGCAATGTTTTGAAAACTGCAACCACAAAATCCTATCAGTAGGTATTGCCACTAATGATATCATCCATGTCAAATTGATAGATCTGGATTTGCTTACTTAAAAATGCATCTCTGTGTCTACAAATATCTTAACTTGGCAACGTCACCTATTTCCCTTTGGGCAGGTTCAAGCTAATAATCTTTGGTGCAGCTTATTTCACAATTTGAATATCTTCAGCAGGCAAAATTTCAAAAATTCAGACCACAGTGTACATTTATCAGACTGGAGATAGATGGAATGGTTATAAGACACACCCAACAAGGAACACTCTATTCTGATAAACTCGAAGCACAGAAAAGATAAATCTAGGAAAGTGGTCATGTATTTTCTTTCACTGTGTTTGCTTATGGCCTCTAAGAAAAACAGCAAGTTCCTGTCCCATATTCCTCCAGTTCTGCTCTAAAGTCAGCAAAGTCACATATCTTCTAAAGGAAGAGTCTGTCTTTCAGAAGTAAAACAGTTATGTAGGAGATCTTAGCTCTAATTGGTGCTTGCTTTCTGCTGGTAGGAATCGTGGTTCAGGACATGGTTGGACCTACATTAGCTCCAAGTTCAGGTAACAAGCCTTAGCAAATCCTTGTTTTACTACAGCTGAATTATATACACCAAGCTTACTAACATACTGAACACCTAATGGGAAAAATTACACTTTTTCCCTGACAGACTTTAGAGAAAAAGCAAAAAACTTCATGTATCACAGAATTTCAACAGTCCAAAAAGGAGCCTCAAAAAAGGTACTAAGTCATCTAAGTGAGGTGATCAGTTCAGAGAGAAGGGCTAGTGAACCAGGGCATAAAAGTAGCACTACTAGAATTATTTTCCTTCCTTAAGGAAAAATACATCAAAATGTTCTTTAATTAGCATTAAATTCAACCAACAAATATTTACTGAACACCTACTATGTCCCAGAGACGTGAAGATGAAGAAGACATAGGTAGTGTCCTTAAAGGTTTAAGTATTAAGACCTCTGCTCAGATTTTAAGTTCTCTGAAAAGAATGCTTATGTCAAATCTTTCAGATCAGAAGCACAATGCTACTTATAAAAAGTAACTCTTCAAAAGGTATCTGTTGATAATTATGGTGAAAAAGTTATTTTAAGTATTGAGAGTCTTGTGACGAGAATACACAAGCTATCCTAATGAAATATACTGAGCAGCCTAAACAAACAAAAAATTTTGCTGAGACAACAGGGTACATATTTATCTAACCTAGAAAGACCTATGCTGGCCTCAGGTAAATAAATGCCCTCCAGTTTGACAGGTATGAAATACAGTGCAGATAACTATAGCTGAGATACTGGAGATGGTCACACTTACCGAAGGCTTGGTTATTTTTGACCTGTCATCCTGCAATTAAGAAAAAAAAAGTAAGGTCCATTATGAAAGGAAAAACATCTGTAAAACTATCATTTCCAAAGTACTCACTTTTACTGAGATTTAAAAAAAAAATTATTATTCAGTAATTAGCATTTTAGGTTCCATCTAGGTTATCAAATACACAGTTTGATCCATCTGACTGCAAAAATTAATAGCAGATTAAGTGCCTAGATTTACTTCGATCTAGCATTCCAAAGTTTAAAATAGCATCCATGATAGTCATATTTATATTATATATTTATGAGACACGGATTCTGATCTGTAATTCAGGGAGCAGCTGAGACCTACTTAGATTCTTCCCTTCTATCCTCTGAAATTCACTTTGAGGTGGGGTGGGATAGGGTGTGTGTGTGTGTGTGTGTGTGTGTGTGTGTGTGTGTGTGTGTGTGTGTGTGT